CTAAAATTATAAATTTTTCTTTATACTTAATTATATTTCTGTTAGACACCTTTTAGCACTTTAAGAGCAACGGAAGTTGCGCGCGCATTGCTAACAAAAATTTAACGGGGATGAAGTTAGCAATGTTTGGCTATTGATTTACGAGTTTCCTTGTAATTCATAACAACGATTAAAGAAAATTGTAATTGTCAAAGTTTGACATCCACTATTTTTCATGGGTGTATGTAAAAGAAAATTTTAATTAAATAAACGAATTGTAGGTAATACATATAAAATAGATAATGTCTGGCTGCAGCAGTGAAACTTATTCTATACATCCGTATTATATTTGTGGGATTTGTATGGATAAATTTCCGACAGCCTGTTTATACACTTGCGATAGAGGCCATTTGGTTTGTTCAAGATGCTATAAACAAGAATATTACATTGGTATGCTATAATCATTAAAACAATTAAATCGATTTGTAATATATACCTGAAAACTTTTTTAAAATATTCGCGTAACCTAGATGATACCGATATCGATAATATTAGAAATGTGCGAAATGGTGTTTTAAAAGTATTTAAATACAAAATGCAAATACTTTTTTCGTTTGTTATTTCAAATGTAAAATACAAAATAGATTTCCCTTTTGTATTTTTAATGCTAAATGCGTATTTTCAAAATATTTTTTTTGTAGTAGGTACTTGTTTAATTTTGTACATTTACTTAGGTATAAAATTGTTTTTAAGAAAACCTTGCAGGTATTTGCTCATTTTTTAAATATTGGAGTTTTTCTAAACTAATAGTGAAGTTTGCACCTAAATCAATGGACTTCTTAAATAAACCTTTTATATAATTAAAATCATCAATATTTTAAAATAGAAATAAGTATAAAGCAAGTGGGTATCTTTCTTAAGAGATTACAACATGCGACACTTCCACTTCATCGTTCTCATAATTGTTTTGTTNTTGTATGGATAAATTTCCGACAGCCTGTTTATACACTTGCGATAGAGGCCATTTGGTTTGTTCAAGATGCTATAAACAAGAATATTACATTGGTATGCTATAATCATTAAAACAATTAAATCGATTTGTAATATATACCTGAAAACTTTTTTAAAATATTCGCGTAACCTAGATGATACCGATATCGATAATATTAGAAATGTGCGAAATGGTGTTTTAAAAGTATTTAAATACAAAATGCAAATACTTTTTTCGTTTGTTATTTCAAATGTAAAATACAAAATAGATTTCCCTTTTGTATTTTTAATGCTAAATGCGTATTTTCAAAATATTTTTTTTGTAGTAGGTACTTGTTTAATTTTGTACATTTACTTAGGTATAAAATTGTTTTTAAGAAAACCTTGCAGGTATTTGCTCATTTTTTAAATATTGGAGTTTTTCTAAACTAATAGTGAAGTTTGCACTATATTACCAGGTGCGAAGATTGAGTACGATTCATCTTTTTCTGTTTGAAGTGATTGAGGTATAGTTTTTCTAACTTTATGATATAGTTTCTTCAGTTCAACAACAAATAATTCTTCTATATGCTTCCTTAATTGCCTTTGTCACTCTTTTAATTGGAAAATAGACACTGATGCCAAAATAGTTTGCTTAGCGTGAATATAATTAAAATCATCAATATTTTAAAATAGAAATAAGTATAAAGCAAGTGGGTATCTTTCTTAAGAGATTACAACATGCGACACTTCCACTTCATCGTTCTCATAATTGTTTTGTTCTTGCTCTGCCTTTAAATCTCTCCAGAATTTTCTCATTTCCTGGACTTCGGGTTCGCGTCGTACCCAGTATCCTTTCATGTACGCTTGAATTTTGATGGCAGCATATTCGTAACTCCACACATAAGAAAATGGGAAAATCGGTCTAGGATGTTCTTCTAACCAATCCTCAACCCAAGGCATATCAAAAATATACATCCAATTATCCTTGCGTTCGGGATATTTCGGATTTAAGTTCCAATACATTTCAGCGATATAATCGATTGGATTGAAAGTGCATCTCAAACACAATCCTTTCTCTTTTGCTTTGGTCATTGTCTCCAATAAGATGTACTTTAAAAAAGGGTATATTTGGTATTTTAAAATGGTCGTAGCAGGGTTGTCGGGTATCGGACACTCAGTAATTTTAGTCTGTCGAAATGAATCTATTTCATTCCGGTTTTCTTCGCTTTCCTTTAAAATTTCCTGCCATATCTGGTTGTGAGGAACCTTCGGTGTTTCTTCTAAATCACTTTCCTCTGACTGAGTTTCTTCCTCTTTTGAGATTTCCTGCGCTGAAGTTTTTTTCAATTGNTGCAAGATAAAAATAGGTATTTTTTATTTTGTATTTGCATTTTAAATACAAGTATTTCAAATAAATCGCATCTCTGGATAATATCTTGTACCATGGCCGTTTACGGCGAGGATTTAGGGTTGGTATTTATAAAATCAACAAACCAGGACAATAAGTTCAAAAAAACTCAGATATTTGAGCTTAAAACTTCGACATTTCATACCAAAACTTTACATTACCAACACAATAAAATAATTTTCAAATAATGTGAAATGCCGAGGCCTTTAATTTGAAATACTGTGCATACACCTGCGACCTACGTAAAAACTACTTCCGAATTTCCATCGAGGATGTAGGTGTTACTAGTCCTCGAGCACACACCTACAAACGTTTGTAGTAACTTAACCGTCAAGACTTTATATATATGTATGTATACGTTCTTTATGTCGAGTGAAATAACTTATTTATTTGCGAAAATTGTGTGAAGGGGGCATATTGTTTATTTCTTTTTTACACATTTAGTATCCCATAGTTGATTTCGTTTGACACAAATATTTCAAATTCCTCGATTCCCAGCGAGGGTGTTAAAGCAGCAGCAATCTCTCCTCATTAATTTGAGGTAATTTATAGTGGATGAAATCTGATAATGAATTTTCACATTAATATTTTGAAATCAACTAGTAACCTTGCCCTACAAAATTGTTTAGGGAGTACCTACTTCTTGTTTCATCATCATCATCATAAGGTCATCAGTCGTAAGACTGGTTGGATACGTACTTCCACTCTTTCCTATCCTGAGCTAAACTTCGCATTTCCCTAAAACTAGAACAACCCACATCCTTAACTATTTGCGAACAGTAATCTAATCTAGGTCTACCTCTACCCCTCCTAACTCCTGTTTCTGCCTCTAATA